CATCACAATTGGTTCTAAGAGGAAAAATGGAGGCCACAATGTGGAGCCTTGAAAGTCAGGTGTTACCACCTCTGCTATGTCCTATTGGTCAAAGCAAGTTACTGATTCAAAGGGAAGGAAAAGACAGACACTCCCTCTTGGTGGGAGGAGCAGCCTGCACATACAGGAAGGTGAAGTCTGATCTACCATCTTTGGGGGCTGTATTTGTAGACAGTCCACCATCTGAGACAAGACACTCAATGGTCCTTTTCTAGTCTTGGTGTTAAGGCCTGAATATTCTCACCAAACCACCCACTCCTAGGAGCAGTGGTTGGTACCAGTGATATTGTTGACGGAAGAGACCTGGTTCTTCTTACGATGCATGTGAAGAATTACAGGTCAGCAAATCCGTTAGCATGCAATCAGGGTTTATTAGGGATCCATTCCCATGGAAGAGAATGGACCTAGTTAAGATGGGCCATGGCGGGTGGCAGTAAAAGGCATAGGTTCAGGGCAAAGCAGGGTGGCAGAAGTAAGGGCGGCTGGGGGCCGGGGTCTCTAGCTTGGGGTGGCCAGAGGCCAGGTGTCCTGAGGCCAGGTGGCCAGGAAACCAAGAGAGCAAGCCCTTCATTCTGAGAACTTATATAGTTGGTAGGAGGAGAGTGAAAAAGTTACATATTGATTGATGGGTAAATGTGGTGCCAGCTTTCCTGGAGGGGAGGTGACTACCCAAATTTAGGTATGCGTGGGAGTCTGTTAGCAAACTTAGGTATGCGTGGGAGTCTGTTAGCCCCAATCTTTATCTTGCTCCAGACTCCATTTGTTCATCTTGTTGTAAAAGATACATGACAGGAGGCAGTTAATTAAAGTTGGACCAGTTACCCAAAGTTACATATGGGCTACTGCTTTGGGCACCATGGATCCTCTCCCTCGCTTCAAGCCTTAGGGTGAAAGCACAATTTCAGGGCCTTCTTTCCCAGATAGTGAAACACTACATAGAATTTCAGCAACTTCCCTCCTCCTGTGCTAACACAGCATGTCCGCGTTGCCATGTTGGAACACATGGCAATATTATCGGACCAGGCTCAGGGCCGCTGAGTTAGTGGGTGAGACATGTCTCCTTTCATCTCCCTGCCTTGGTTTGTTATTCATTCTACCTAAGTGCTATAAGGCATTTCCTAGCATCCAGGATGCTAGCTGCTGGCTGGTAACAGCAGCGCAGTCTCAGAGTTCTTTCTGCGCTTTCTCCTGCCTCAGTATGGCAAATGGGAATGAAGGCTATAGCATAAACCCAGGCCTTCCTTTCTCCAAGTTCACAGAGGGACAGTGAGCCACATGGTCTAACAAAAGAGCTAATTCATCCAGACACCTGCGCCTGGACCTGCACTATAGGATTAGAAAACTTTAGCCCTGGCTGGTGTGGCTCAGTGGATTGAGTGCCAGCCTGCAAACCAAAGGGTCACTGGTTCAATTCCCAGTTGGGGCACATGCCTGGGTTGTGGGCCAGGTCCCCAGCAGGGGGTGCACGAGAGGCAACTACACATTGATGTTTCTCTCCCTCTCTTTCCCTTCCCCTCTCTCTAAAATAAATAAAATCATTTTAAAAAGAAAGAAAAAAAAACTATCATCTGGAAATGCTTTGTAGAAAGGTAGGTAAGAATCATAAAAAGGGCCCAAAGTTGGCAGTCAAGAGACCTTAAATCTGGACTGGCCTCTGTCGCATACTAGCTATATGTCTCTGAACAAATCAAGGACAAAGCTCTGGGCCTCTGTTTCCTATATGTAAGGGGAAAGCCTTTAACTAAGGCCACCCACAGTGCAATCGCTCTCTGCTGCTCCACAAACAAACGTCATGAATCCATGCAGGTAACAGCTGGCTCTGCACACTGTCAGAGAGGCTCCTGGGGGTCACTGAGGGTCTGAATAGGTGAAAGGCAGATGGAGGCAGGGCTGGAGGAGAGAATCCTATGCAGTGTGCAGGATGGCAGGAGTCCGTCTGGAAGTCGGCACAGAGCCCAGAGCAAGGGCAGCAATTTCAATAGATAAGCAGGGACAGATGTGAGCGATTACCAGGGAAGACTGCCAGGACCCAGGGCCTGGCTGGATATTTGCAAGGAAAGCCCAAGGAAAGGCAGGGGGCACAGATAACTCCTACATCACTGGGACACTGAGGCCAGGAGAAAATGTGGAGAGAAGAGCAATTTAGGGTTAAATACGAGGAATGTGGACGTTGTCATGATGTATTTCTCTCTTTATTATGGAAGCAGTCCGTGTTCACTAAAGGGAACTTGGAAAATAATTTAAAAACTAAAAAGAAAAGCTAACCCCATATTTCCACCGTTCAAATGCCATCACTTTCACCTCTTTGTTGGGCTCTCTTTTTTTCCCTCATGTGTAGTTTTTCTTTTCAGTATGTCAGAAGCAGCTTACATTCGTGGAAAAAACGTAGTTTTTCCCTTTGTTTATTTTTTATTTATTCACTTGAGAAGAAGGGGTAGAGGGAGAGAAACATCACTTTTTTGTCCCACTCATTTGTGCATTCATTGACTATTTCTTGTATGTGCCCTGACCAGGGATGGAAGCCACAGCCTCCGCGTGTTGGGATGCTGCTCCAGTGAACTGAGCAGGCCAGCCAGGCCTGAAAGTGTAGTTTTTGATGTCAGAGAAATGGGATAAAATGATGGCTTTGTCACTTTTTCAGGTAACACTTGTTGAGCACTCACAGTGTCACATGTTTTCTCTGTATTCATTTAATACAGAGAGATTCATTTAATCCTCGCGAAGTCCTATTTTGTAAACAAGGAGAATAAGTCACTGAGAGGCTAAGAAACTTACCTAAGGCACACCACTAGGAAATGGCAGAAAAGAGAATTAAACCAAGGACACTGAGCATGAAGTGCACAAGCTCAACCCCGATACAGGCTTGCGTCCCACTCTTCATATGTGACCTTGATAAAGCTAGTAAACTTCTCTGAAAGTGGAAACTATTCTCAAGAGTTGTCTGAGCATTAGCAATTATATATGTCAAGTCTCTCAACTAATGGCAGCTGCTCACCACTTGAAAATGAGTTTTTGTTTCGGTGAGGTTGAATCTGAGGTGAGGGTGGAACTTCCAACTGAATTCAGAATTGCAAATGCCGAAAAGCCACTGAAGCAATGGCATTGGCCTGCTGGGATATCAGTCCCCGCTCTGTCACCTAACTGCCACATGACTTGACAAGTTAGTTCACCTGCCTGAGAATGCTCATCTGTAAAACAAGGATAAAAATAGTACCTACTTTCTTGGTTTGTTTGAGTATATGGGGTAATATGTAGGTAGTGCTGAGAAACAGGATTTGGCCCCCGTCAGTGCCTGGCAAAAGTAGGTTTCTCTGGTAATGGTATGTACAATGGATATAATAATAAATCTGTGGGAATCTAATATTACTATAAGGTAATAGTCTCCTGTGTTAGGACTCTCATATGTATAATGTATTGGGGGAGGCAGGAATCAAATCGCAAAACCCTTTCTTCCCAGTAACTGCACAATCATTTACTTCATTCCCAGCATATCATTTATCATCATGGATTGCCCTGTGTCTACCACTATGCCAGGGACTCTGGAAAAAACTCAGAAAATCCAGAGAAAGGGAGACAGACCCCAGATTTTCTCCCATGATGTGGGCAGCAGAGAGGTGTTGCAGTGCAGCCAGAAAAACGACCAAATGGTTGGCTACAAGACCTAGTAGGTAAAGCTGTACTAGATAAATTAGGAAGAATGTTCCCATGGTGGTGCGAGTGTTAAGTCATCATGAAAAGGTGTGGAATCTCTTTTTGGGGGAGAGCATTAACAGGACCAGTCTTGCTCTGTAAGGAATGAGTGTGAAGAGGGGTTCTTCATTCAGGAAAAGCAATGAATAAGGCTTCAAGGAATCCATGGCTCTGTGAAGGTCATTAACTCAGCTGCTTTGGTGAGCTAGAATCTCTAGCTTCCAAAGACGGCATTTCACTGGAAGAGAGTGGCAGCTCTAGACCCGGCGCACCCCCTTAGTGGTTGAAGAGAAGGAACCTGCGGCCCAGGGGAGGGAGCAGCAGACCCAAGAGCGCTAACCGGGACTCAGCTCTGCCAGACTCCAAAGTACGTAAACGAGGAAACGTTAGTACAAGTCGAGAAAGGGCGTCGAACAACTGGTGCCACTGCGGACAAGCCGAGAGGCCCAGCAGCGGGAGGAAGTCTCCTGTTTCTCACTCTTGCAGAAAGGAGGGCTTCCCGGGTGGTGATACTGGCGAGAGTGGTGATAGAGGTGCAGGCACCCGGATTCCGGCTGTCGTAGGTGCAGCCGCACAGCTTCTGGGGACCTCTTACGGCCACGAGACGGAAACTAGTTCTCGAGGGCTGACGACTACGGCCAAGTCCTTTGCATCGGACTTTCCCCATCTCCACCCCTGGCCCCTTTACAAGCGCCTCGGGCCCGAGGCTAAGCATGCTGGCTCTGACCCGAAAGGGAGACCGAAGCAACCTCCCCAGGGCGCCCGATGCTCAAGTTCCTGTCCCCTTTCACTGGAGCGTTCTGAGGTGTCTGGACTTTGAGGGATCCGGGTGCTGTCCTGGGGCGCGGGCTCCCCCGCGAGCTGCACTCGGTGGAGTCGGCGCAGAGCAGCCTCCAGGGGCGTGGCCGGGGGCAGGGCGTCCGGGGCCTCTTCTTCCCCTCTGGGGACCAGACTGCGGGGGAGGAGTCGGGGATCCTGGGGCCGCGGGGCAGTTGCTGCGGAAGCTCGGCTTGGAAGCGCCGACCCAAGCGCCAGGGGCGTGGGCCGGGCCGGCGCGCTGGGGTTAATGTCCGCCCCGCCCCGGTCGCGCTGACTCAGTTTCACCAGAAACTAGGGGGTGGAGAGGGCCTATCAGCCGCACACCCCTCACCTGGGCGGAAACGGCTGCCGGGGCCGCGCAGGAAGCCGGGACCGGAACCTCGACAGCCCCGGCCCCACCCCACTCACCTGCGCAGGTAACCGGGGCCCCGGAGGTGGAGCGGGCTCCGAGTATGTTTGGCCCTTTGTTCTGCACTCGTCCGTGTGTCCGGGTACGTGACCTCATTAGCAGTCCCTCGGGCCGTGGGTCTGGCGGCCGGGTCTCCTAGGGTGCTCCGTGCTCCCCAGTCCTCCCCTGCACTTCCTCTGGGCCGGCCCGCCCCCCTTGAAGTCTCCCCGGCTGATCCGGTTCCCCGGCTGATCCAGTGTGCCTCCTCCTCTGTCTCCTCCTCTCTCTCAGGCCGCAAGCACCGTCGGAGCCCAGAGGCCAGCACTGTGAAGGTGACCGCCCTGGGCAGGAGGGCGAGGGCCCCTGTGAGGACGATGGCTGGCCCTCCCCTGTCCAAGGCCCGCATCCCCGCAGTCACCTTATGGCTCCTGTGTGCGCTCTGCCTCCCCGGCACCGAGGCCGGGCCGGCGCCCACGCCCCCCGCGGAGCCCGAGGGAGCCGCCTGCCTGGACCGCTTTACCCCCGGGGTACCCGCTTTTGTGCTTGACACCGATGCCTCGATCAGCAACGGGGCCACCTTCCTGGGCTCTCCCACCGTGCGCCGCGGCCGGGACTGCGTGCGCGCCTGCTGCACCACCCAGAACTGCAACCTGGCGCTGGTGGAGCGGCAGCCCACCGGCGAGGAGGACGCCGTAGCCTCCTGCTTCCTCATCAACTGCCTCTACGGGCAGAACTTTGTGTGCAAGTTTGCGCCCAGGGAGGGCTTTGTCAACTACCTCACAAGAGAGGTTTACCGTTCCTACCGCGAGCTGCGGACCCACGGCTTTGGAGGTAAGACGGTGGTTCGAGGATTGGGTGGATTTGGGCAGACTCAGAAAAGGGACTGGCTATGGAGTCGGAAGAGTCGAGCTTCATAAAGAGGGTTTAAGAGTCCCACTCTACTCCGACTCCTCCTTAGAAGTAGACAGTGTAAACCGCAAATGACAGACAGTCTAGGTGAGGGAGGAGGGGTGACATCCTGAAGTCGACTTGCTCCTGAATTCAGGGTGCTGTTGAGTGGGCTGGGGCTCAGGGATGTGTGTATGAGGCAGAGGAGGCAGCTTCTCTGGATTCCCGATTTCCGGCCCTGATAAGCTGAGTCAGGGAATGAGCTGTCTGGAGGCTGCCCTTGACTAGCAGGTACCCCCTGGGCCAGTCACCCGCCCTAGCCAAGATGGTTTGAGGCACCTTGAGGCCCTGTCAAGTGAGCCTGGTGGAGTGCCTCTTCCTCCACTGATGGACTTGGGACTGGTTAGCATCTCTGCACCCCTCCCCCCACCTATTGGCCTTCTGTGGTCTGGGGAAAGCTGCCAGACTGCAGAGACTAGAGAACAAGTGCAGTCTGGGGTTGACCCAAAGGGGGAGGTGTTGTGGGCACAGTAGCCAGAGGCCCAGGGGTGGGGATAAGAAGGATTGTTGGGTGAGTCAGTTCACCAGTATGTATACCTGGTAGGGGAGGGATGTCAGCTGTCCAGACAGGTGTGTGTGTTTGTGTGAGCGAGTGAGCCAGGCAGATCGCTCTCTCCCCTCTTAGGATCTGGTAGCCACGCTGTCTGCTCACCTTGTTTACCTCCGAGGATGTGGGCAAAGTGGGGGCCAGGGCTCCTCCTCTTTCCTCCTGGGACTGAGCAATTAGCTGGGATCAGGGCTCCTCCAGAGACCTTCATTCCCCATTCTCTCCACCTGCTGTTTGGCCAGGTGGGGCTCCAGGGCAGGGATGGGTCACAACTGATAACCTCGGTTCTCGCTTCGCAGCTCTCTGATTGCTGTGCCATTCCACCTCTCACCGAGGCCTCATCATAACCGACTCTGCAAAGGGTGCTATTAGTAGTCATCCCACTTTTCAATTAGGAAACTGACTCCCATGTTGCATAAATGGTAGACCTGGGACTCAACCCTAGGCAGGACCTCCAAAAGTCCTGTGCTGTTTTTCACACAAGAACACCTTTTTGGAAGAAACCTGTCTCTGAGCCAGAGACTGGGGAGCCTAAGGGCCAGGACTGGGCTGGGGCAGAGTCTGGGGTTGGTCTCATTTCTGGAAAGTGGAGAAGGGACCATCCTCTCCAGCCCTTTTCTGGTCTAGTCTCTCTCCCGAGTTAAGGGCCCATTCTTTGCCCTTTTCCTTCAAGGAGCTCTCCTTGGGTGACTGGGATGGGGATTCCAGGAGGGGGCAACATCTCTGGGCCAGACTGGGCCACTGAATCCCACTGGGCCTGAGCCTGTTCCACAGGGAGTAGCAGAAGGTGTAGGTGGTGATGACTCTAACTGACTTGCGTCCCACTCCTGGCCAGCGTCTGAAACTCCAGAATCTGGTCAGGGAGCTGAGCTGGATGGGCCACATGATCTTGGAACCAGCTTTCCTCACTGGAAATCTTCCCACCCCCAGACTGGCCTGTTTAGCGCAAGACAGGACGGAGTGGGGATTTCCTGGGCACTCAGGAAGCTGGGTAGGGCTTGGACTGAGTGTGAGCTGCAGGCCATTTTCAGGGAGCCACAGTGCTTTGGGGAGTGGAGGAAGCTGTGTGGTGTCAAGGAACCTATTCTCAGCTGAGTCCAGCTAGCACGGCTGGAGGTGGGTAAGAGCAGGAGAAAGCCATTATGTCAGGCAAGGTGAGCAGGTGTTTAGGGCTTCTAAACCTTTGATTCTTGTATAAGGTAGAGAAATCCTTCCCAGGGTGGGTGGGTTGGTCCTCCTTTCCCCGCCTGTAGCCAGGCCAGTTCAGTCCAGATTCCTGTGGGCTCCAGAGCACCTTGCTCCTTCCTCTTTTCTACCTTCTCCCCCTTTCCGTTGGAGGAGTGGCTTAGGAGGTGGAGTCTCCGTTTGCCTGGATATGTCCTGGGCCTGGCGGCTGGGGGAGGGGCTGGCTTTATTACCACTCTGGCCCTTTGCTCTCTTGGGGGTGGGAAGAAGGGAGTGGTAGGACAGGTCATCTGCCCCTTGCTCCTGAGCACTGGGACTTGGAGATGACCAGGGTTGACCAGCTGTGTGGAGGTGGACATTGCTAATTTGGCCCAAAGTCTGACACATCACTCTGCCTGCCACTTCCACCTTAGGTGTCTGTCGGGCTAGCCTCTCCGGTAGACTGCCAAGTAGTCTGTTTTCTTTCCCCTTTCAGATAGCTGATTAGTTTCTGTAAAATGCAAGGAGGGAGGAGTGGGCTTCTTGCAGCTCACTGCCCCTTTTGCTTTGAGTCTCAGAGGTCACCTCAGGGCTGGCCCCTGTTGGCCCTCTCCTGATCTCCAGCCAAACTACTGGTGTGGGGTGGGGGGAGGGGAGCTGTTCCAGACAAACACTTTCCTTTCCTACTCTCCTGGTTTTATTTCCCCTCAGCCCCTGGAAACTGGAGTTCCTTTTCTCACTCTTGTGGACCTTGGCCCAATTTGACATGTTTCTCTATGTAAGCTCTCCCCTCCCATCCATTTGCTGACCCTGTGTGTCCTGATCTTCTCACCTCTGTCTGTGACCACCATCTGTGAGTCCCCATTGAATCTGCTTTCTCTACCTTATCAAAAAGGAATCCCTGTGACTCAGCCTTCAGCCAGCTGTTCTTATATTTTTGCTTTCTCTTCTTCCTTTGAACTCCCTCTTACATTGAATGTGCCCTCTGTGGAGCCTCTGTAAAGGGAAGTATGGAAATATCCATCAGAACTGTAAATGCATATTACCCACAGCACAATACCATGTGTAGGAATTCATTTTGTGGCTCTACTTATATGTGTGTAGAACAACTTACCAGCCAGCTGTTCACTGTAGCATTGTTTAAAAGAGCAAAGAATGGGAAAGATCATGATGTCTGCCAACACATCCTATAGTTGGATACTGTGGTTATATTTTAGCAATAACAATAAACCCTGAGGCAGCATGGTTTAGTTGCTAGAAAAGAAGGGAGGAAAGGAGGGAAAACTAAATCAAGAGGAAACTAGTGGACTAATTAAATAAGTTGTAAATTATGATGTATTTATACAATGAGTAATATGCAACCAAAAAAGAAAAAGAAACTTTTTTATGTTGCTATGGAATTATTCTCAAGATATATGAGAAAAACAAGAAGAACTTGTATGCTTGTGTGTTCAGTACTATCTCTATTGACACACACACACACACACACACACACACACGTGCGCGCGCGCAACTAAGAGCAGATGCCTCCGGAAAGGGGAACCTGTGGGTTAAGGAGAAGAGGGAGCTTAATTCTCACTACCCTTTTGTACTTTTTGAATTTTACATCATGTGCGTGTATTACCTAAATTAAAAACAAAAACCCCATTGGTAAAAGTAGTCAAAATTACACCTCTAAATGGAAGGGTGGCCTGCAGCATGGTGTTTTGGAGAGAGAATGAGCTATGGAGTCAGAGTAGGGTTCAAATCCCCATGTTGCCGTATAGAAACGGAGGGACCTTGGGCAAGTCATTTAACCTCTCTGGTGCCAGTGTCCTCCTCTGGAAAGGGGGATGAGACACAGTGGTGGCAGGATATTTAGGAAGATGGGTGAGATAGATCAGGGGTGAGCAAACTTTCTATAAAGTTTCAAATAGTAAATAATTTTAGGCTTTGTGGACCATACAGTCTCTGTTGCAGCTATTCAGTTCTGCTGTTGTAAGGTGAAAACAGCCATCCACAATATGTGACTGAATAGGAGAGGCTGGTTTGGACACAAATTTGAATTGTATGTACTTTTCACATGTCACAAAATATTCTTTCGGTTGATTTTTTTTCCAACCATTTGAAACTATACTAGGTGGTGGGCTGGATTTGGCCTGCAGGCCTCGTTTGCCTACCCATGGTGTAGATGATGAGGGTAAAGTACACAGTATGGTGCTGCATATATATCCAACAAGTGGTAATTTTGTTAATAATTATGACTCCAGCCCCAGCTGGTGTGGTTCAGCGGCTTGAGCACTGGCCTGCGATCTGAAAGGTCGCAGATTCAATTCTTGGTCAGGGCACATGCCTGGGTTGTGGGCCAGGTCCCCCATCAGGAGGGTGTATGAGAGGCAACCGGTTGGTTGATGTCTCTCTCATACATCAAAGTTTCTTTCCCTCTCATTCTCCCTCCTTTCCTCTCTCTCTAAAAATAAAGAAATAAAATCTAAAAAAATATATATATATATAGCAACTCCAGATGTGTTTCCAACCCTGTCCTCTCTGGAGCTCCCACTGTATTCCTCCACTCTGGATGGTCTTACCTCCCTCAAATTTAAATTCTCTGTGACTGAACCCACACATTCCGTCTATGTCTGGTTTCCCTTCTGCCTGTTGGCCTCCTCTTCCTCCCAAGTTCCCAGCACCCTTCAGGCACGGACGCCTGAAGCCTGAAGCGTCTGCCCAGTATCGTTGCTAACATCCTCCTTTCCATTCCCTTAGCTGTCCCTTAATTCAGACCACTCCCGTCTCATCTGCCCTGACCCACTGCACTGGTCCACTCGTCAGCCTCCTTGTTCTGTAGAAATCATTCCAAACAGATGGTGAACATCTGTTGCCTGGAGCTCAGGAGTGTCCCTGCCACCCAGGCCCTTGACCCCTGCCTTAGCACTCCTGGACTTCAATCGTGCATCTAGAAGGTCAATGTCTGCTGCAGCCCAGGGCTTCTAGGACTCTGCAGCACTTCTCACGGCCAGTGTGCGCCCTTCCTGTACCACCGGTTGTTAAACATTTGGATGTCACTCCTGCTGTGTCCACATGCCCTGGCCCAGCACTCAGCGCACTTCGAGGTCTCTCCAGGCCAGCTGGTCTCCATAATGTCACCACATCAGCCTTGAAAATCCCCAACTCCTTGCTTTGGCTCTTCATGTTTTCTGTTGTCATCAACAACACAACTTATTCTTTCCTACATCCAAACAAATAAAAACAAAAATAAAAAAATAAAAAAATAGTTTCTCGCTCTCCAGAAAAATCTCCCCTTATTCTTCTAGTCTTTCAGAGGCTCTCCCTTCTCTGAATGTCCATCACTTTCCTGTCCTGTGCACACAGTGCGTATCACTTCAGTCCGTTGGCTCTCTTCTCCCATGTTGCTTCAGGTTGTTGGGTCTTATCTGCATAACTGGACTAGAGTCCCCTCAAGGACAGTACTGATTTCCTATGGCTGCTGTAACAAATGGTTACAAACTGAGAGGCTGAAACAACAGAAATGTATAGCCTCACAGTTGTGGAAGTCGGAAGTCCAAGATCAAGGTGTTAGCCTGGCTACACTCCCTCTGACAGCCCTAGCAGAGAATCCATCTTTGCATCTTCCAGTTTCTGGTGCCACCAGGGCTTCCTATGTTTATGGCTGCTCACTCCAGTCTCTGCCTCTGTCTTCACACAGCCTTTTTCCCCTTTACTCTGTTCTTCTCTTCTGTCTTTTATAAAGATATTTGTCATTGGATATAGCTAATCCAGGGTGACCTCATGTGGAAATGCTTAACTTGATGACTTCCGCAAAGTCCCTTTTTTCAAACAGGTTCACATGCATGAGGTCTGGAGGTTAGACATGGACATATGTTTTGGGGGACCGCCATTCAACCCACTGCAGGCAGGACTCCTTCTCGGTGCTTGTTTTTCTCTCCAGCCCCTAACCAGAGACTGAGGGAAGCCTCAGGCAGAGGCGCAATCAGATTGAGGGAGGGCGTGGTTGGCTTGGGCCTTCTCAGAACCGCGGGCAGTCTGTCAGAGGTGGCAGGGGCACCCTCTTCCTGTGGCCACTCACCCTAGGACACCGAGACTTGCCACATTGCTGCCTGGGGGTTCTGTGCTTAGGTCTCTATCAGCAGCAGTTGGGCAGCAGAGAGAGAGAGGGGTATGGGTATTAATTCCACATTTACTTATTTGGCTTTTCAAAAATATTATTACTTTAATTTCTTTAAACAATTAGCACAAGACCTACTCCTACTTATTGTAGAAGACAGGAATAAACTTCCCCCATACACACACACACACACACACACACACCCCTAAATTGAATCAGATGGCACATGATATATAGTAATTTTTTTCAGAAAGTGAGTCTTACAACATAAAAAGGTCTTTAATATACCAAAGACATAATATATATAAATAGGGATCAAGAAGATGATTTAGTTGTGGGTTCCCACCTGTGGCCCATGCTGGCTGCGGAGTCCTGGATTGGTCTCGGCGGGGCTCATATAGCGCCCCGCCCCCAGGAGAGATCTGGTCCATTCAGCCAGAGTTGACCTCACCTCATCTTCCCCACAGGGTCCGGGTTCACCATGCTCTGGGCAGGCATAGACTTGAAGGTACAACCCCAGGAACCTCTGGTGCTGAAGGGTGTGGAGAATACAGATTGGCGCCTACTGCAGGGTGACCCGGATGTCAGGGTGGAGGTGAGACGCTGGTCTGGCTCCCTGACCCCAGCTCTCCAGGGCCCCGCTCTGTCCTCTCTGGGGGATTGTGTGTCTGGGAGGGCCTGGGATAGTTCAATGGGCATCAGGGAATCCCAGCCTAATAGCCACTCCTATGCACAGAGGAACAATTTGGACCAGGTGGAGTTATGGGGACTCAAGGAAGGCACCTACCTGTTCCAGCTGACCTTGGCCAACTCAAACCAGCCAGAGAACATGGCCAACATCACAGTCACTGTTCTTTCCACCAAGCAGACAGAAGGTGAGGGCGGGGTGGGGAGGCCGCATCTGGAGCCACCCCACTCTGTTGATTGGCCCTGGAGGCCCCCCTCACAATTTTTCCTCCCCATAGAATATTGCCTCGTAACCAAAAAGGTGGGCCGCTGCCGTGGTTCCTTCCCCCGCTGGTATTACGACCCAGGAGAACAGATGTGCAAGAGTTTCGTTTATGGAGGTTGCTCGGGCAACAAGAACAATTACCTTCGGGAGGAAGAGTGCAAGCTAGCTTGCCTCGATGTGCAAGGTGGGCCTTTGCGCGGCAGCTTTGGGGCTCCAGTGAACTTTCCCTCAGGGTGAGTGGTTTCTCTTCACCAGTCAGGGAGGCGGGCACGAGAGCCCCTAATTCCCAGGCCCCGTGCCCCTCCCCCACCAGCTCATCCCCACTGGGGCCTGGCTCTGTCTCCTCTCACTTCTCTGTTTTCTCTTTCCTAGGTCCCTCCAAGGAAAGGCATCACACAGGTGGGCTTTGCTTCGTTTCCTATTCCCCTCACCCCTACCACATCTGCAGCCCAGGTCACGTCCATGCCCTTGACCAAGCTGCTTTTGCCCAAGCCATTCCTGCCCTCGTGGTATGCGGAAGGACCACAAGCACCCCGCCCCTTACAGCCTAGCATCCGCCTCTCAGGATCTGCCCAGTTCGTGTGTAGAAGGGTTCCTGTGGGATAGGTGGGGAAAGGGGGGACGCGTCATGATGCTACGCTGGGGTGGAGAGGGCCAGGGAGATGATGGCCCATCGGTAGCCGCTGGCCTCTGCTGGAGCATGACCTTGCCCCCGACCCATTTCGTTCCCATCCAGAGTGCTCTGGAACCTGCCACCCCACTGAGTTCCACTGCAGCGATGGCTGCTGCATCGACAGCTTTTTGGAGTGTGACGGCACTCCTGACTGCTCTGATGCCTCCGACGAGGCCACATGTGAAAAATGTGAGGCCTGGGGGATGGAGGGGCGGTGGGCAGCGGAGGGGGAGGTCCTGACCATTCACCCTGCACCCCTGGGAGTCTGCTGTTGGGCTGTGCTTCTGATATTTCATCTTTGCAGACACCAGAGGCTTTGAAGAGCTCCAGAACTTCCATTTCCCCAGTGACAAAGGTGAGATTCCCCATAGGTCCTCTCGGTGAGGGCAAATGCTGGCCCTGCCGTCCTCCCTCACTCGGTCTGCGTGCCGATAGGGGCTGCTGCGTGTGCCAGGGTGTGGGCAGAAAGAGCCAGCATGGGCTCCCAGCTTTTGTCTTGGGCTGTTTCCCAAGCATAGTGACACCTTCAGAAATTTAGCCATGCCCACGTATCACCGAGATGGCATTTACTTAATTTTTTTTTATTAATCGATGATTCTTTTAATTTAATGTGTTAAGAAGGAAATTTCACATCACTGCTAGGAATGGAAATTCACCATTATGTGCCACAACTTGAGGTTGACTATTAAAACAAATATAATAAAAAAATGTTAACAAATTTTAGCCTGACATGGGTGCTTGCCAATGCTTAGACCCTGAGCTGCTCTTGTTTAACGATAGATCATCCAGTGCAGGAGAGAAAACTGAGACTATGACACAATCAGAAAAGCTGAGAGAAGACTGAAAAAGAAATAGTTATGTGAGTCAGGGTAGTTTACCTCTGTGCCCAAGATTACTGCTTCTGGCGACACTGCAGATGAGCCAGGTGTTTCTGGGGCCCCTGAGGCCTCCCTGAACCATAGCCTTCCTCCGCACGATGCGGGTCAGGAGGTGGCGGGCAGCCACCAAGGGGGCCTGGGAGATCATAGATGGTAGCATGGACTTTCTCACTCCTTTGCCCACTCCTCACCCTCCAGGGCACTGCGTGGACATGCCAGACACGGGCATCTGCAAGGAGAGCATCCCTCGCTGGTACTACAACCCCTTCACTGAACACTGTGCCCGCTTTACCTATGGCGGTTGTTATGGAAACAAGAACAACTTTGAAGAGGAGCAGCAGTGTCTTGAGTCCTGTCGTGGCATCTCCAGTGAGCAGAGCATTGGTGGGGTGGAAGCTGGGAAGGGGGAAAGCTTCGCTAGAGCTCCCTGTTCTGTCCCAAAGCCTGGGCTGGTCACACCGAGTCCTCAGAGCGCCTGAAATGGGGGTGGGAGAGGATGGCAGTGGGGACTCTCAGTCACTGGGAAGCAGCTGAGTGTCATCCCTTAATACCGAATTGTCTCTCCCCTGTCATTTTGTAGAGAAGGACGTGTTTGGTCTGCGGCGGGAAAGCCCCATTCCCAGCGCAGGTAAGCCCTGGTCTGCCGTGTTACCGATGAGTTGTGTCAACTCAACAATGAACTCCGCACAGTTGGTTGTGGCTGCCTTAACCTGTGTTGAGAAGGATCCTGAGGTTGGCTAGAGGACAGAGTGTCACAAGCAGTAGTGACACCTGTCGTGACAGGGGAGGGAAGCCCAGTAGAGTGCGTGCTAAATGTTTGCCGTCAGTCCCAGGCCTTTCCCCAAGCTCCCTGCAAGTAGAGCAACCTGCAGCCGAGGCCGGAGGCCCATCGGGATCTGTCCCATTGAGCTCCCAATAGGGCCGTTCAGCTGCTCATGGGCTGGTGGCCCTTCCACATTTGGCATCCATTTGACTTGATCTTTTCAATACAGAGTCAGGGCTGGGTATTAGAACTGAGCAGGCCCCGGGAGCTCTTCATTCTACCCTTTCTGCCCCCAGGCTCCGTGGAGACGACCATTGCAGTGTTCCTGATTGTCTGTATCGTGGTGGTGGTGGCCATCCTGGGGTACTGCTTCCTCAAGAACCAGAGAAAAGGCTTCCACAGATACCGCCACGGCCACCGCCACCCCCCGCCCTCTACCCCTGCCAGCTCCACGGTCTCCACCACTGAGGACACAGAGCACTTGGTCTATGACCACACCACCCGACCTCTCTGAGCCCGGGGCTGCCTTGGCCTTTTGGCCTAGGGCTCTCATGGGCTCTTGCCAACTCTCACCTGGCCCTGCTTCCTCCTTACCAAGAAGGAGGCCTGGACCGGGAAAGATTTTGGGGCCAGACCCCTCCTGCCTGTTTCCCAGGCCTCTCTGCCTCAGAGGCCAGGGCTCTAGCCCCTCTCAGAGATGTCTCAGCTAAGCTCGGGCCACTTGTTCCTGAGAAAACTCTAGTGTCTGAGAGGAGCAGAAAACCTTTGAGCCAGGAGTTCTACATATAGATGGCCCTGCCTTGCCTAGGATTTAAGAGGAAGTTGGAGGTTTGTTTCCTGTTCAGAGCTGCTGCCCTGCACCGTGCGGTTGGGAAGGGGCCTGAGCAGTGTCAGAAGCTGGAGGCCCACCCCTGTCCTCCAGAGCCACCCCTCCTGCTCTGCACAGCCCAGAGCTGGGGTAAGGAGCTCCCTATATATTTTGTGCTGTACAGAGTTGCTTATTGTTTATTTAATACTGTGGGGGTAGGTGAGAGATCGATGGACAGTGGTTGTCTGGCCTCTGCTGCTTCCTGTCCTTCTCCCGAGAACAAGCCCCAGCTTGGCCTGACCTAGCACATGGAGCCAGAGCTGCTGTATCCTCCCAGCCCTCCCCAGGGCTCCCTCGGACACCGCACCCCTGCCAGCTCCCCCGCTTCCCATAGGCCCCAGTCCACCCACAGTGTAATAAAATGGTTTGTTCTGTGAGGCTTCCGCCTCTGCTCTGTGGGCCAGGAGAGGGACCCAGCTCAGCTTCTGGGGGGAGATGTGACTGCCCAGTCCAACCGGTTCAGGCTTTGGCCACCCTGTTTAGCAGGTTTTCCCACCCTTCCCGAAACTGCCTCAGCCCCTGAGGGTGGAGAGAAGTGCCAAGTTTGACCACCAGAGGGGAGGGGTAGGAGGGCCACGGGAGTAGGGGGCCCAGGGAAGCTGCAGTGCTGCTCTGTCGTATGTCTTTGTCGCTGGAGCAAGTCTTCACTACAGTGTGTAGTTGAAGACAGGAAGTGTGGGCACGCAGACTTGAGCCCTGGTTCTTGTCTTCACTCCCTTTGGTGTGGGGTCTAGGGACAGGGGTCCTATCTCGCCCAGGTCACCACCGTCCCCTTCCCACCCACAGAAGCATTGGCTTCCCAGGAGTGCAGCTGCTCCCCAGACACTGTGCTCCTACCCAGAAGCCTTTAATTGAGGTACTCCATTCCCCCTCACACCCCTCTCTGTGTTTGAACCACCTCTTGGTGCAAAAAAAACAAAAACAAATACATGCTTTTATTTCTTTTCTTCATTTAGTCAACAAATAATTGAGCTCCCGTGTGCTATGTACTGCCAATCATTAGAAATTTGGTCTTGTCAGGATATGCAAGTGCTTTGCATGTCTGAAGTTAATCGTCTCGGTCTCGGCACACAACCCTGTGATGGTGGTACTATTATTCCCATTTTACAGGTGAGGAAACTGACAGCAAAGCTCTCATAGTCTTCATAGTCTTAGAGCTGGTACAGGAAGACTGGATTTAAGCCCTAATTATGACTCCAGGGTCTAGTCTTACAATGCTACACAGAAAAATAAGGCAGTGTGAGAGGTTGGGGATTAGTTTTAAACAACTGGAGTGTAACTCAGGTGAATATGCATGAGTCATACATATACAGCTCAATGAATTAACATAATTGCACACACCCAGAAGGCAAACACCTAGTTCAAGATACAGAGGGTCCTAGCACCCCAGGATGGGCCTCCTTTTGATGGGTAACGTCCATATCTATGTTTTTTGTGCCTGTTGTACTCAGCCTGAACCACCTTCCTGTTTCTCATCTTTTAGCCTAAACTGGTTCTTATTCCTGAAATTCTGCACACACCCAAATGGGTGGCATTCCCTGCTTCTCACCCCTGTGGCTGCTAACAGGACCCTGAGCACAGAGTGCCCCCTTTACCTTTCCATTTACTGAGCTGTCTTCCCAGCGGGACACAGATGGCATCTTAGTCATCTCTGAGCCTGCCCATAGTGCATAACCTTAGTAATTAGTAGTGTTTTTGATAAATGTTGAACAAATGGCAAGGGGTTGGGCTTGTTACCTTGCTTTGGCTCTTCCCATTTCATGGGGCACTGCATTTTTTTTAAAATTATGTTTATTGGTTTTAGAGACAGGAAGAGAGAGAGAGAAAAAAGCATTGATTTGTTGCCTTCCTGTTTCACCCTGACCAGGGACCAAACCCACAAACCTAGGCAAGGTGCCCTGACTGGGAATTGAACCTGAAATTTTGTGGTACACAGGACAGTTCTCCAACCAGCCGAGCCACACAGGCCATTGTGGGGCACTGCATTTTTGCTTCCTAGTTTACCAGGCAAATTCGACCGTCCTTGCTCTCTTTTCTGGTCAATCCGCCAGTGCTAGTCGTTACTCAACTTCCACCGCCTAGTGCTCTAAAAGCATTTCCAGAGTTGAGGAGATTAATGCCTCATTAAATTCTGTATCCCAATATCCAAAACAGGGATCAACCCAGAACAAGCGCTTAATAAATGTTGGGCCGAAGGAAACATCCTCCTCTCAGGGAAGGGTGAAGATGAAGTGAGACCATGCCTAGCAAAGTACCATCCCCGGAGGAGGCGCTGGGATGGAAGGAGGGCGCAGCGGCTGGAGGCCGCTGGAGGCGCAGGGGCCACTAGGGGGCGCGCTCACCGCTACTGAGTGCTATGTTTTCTGCAAGGGTTCCCCCAGAGTACACAGTGCAGGGCAGGTGTCAGATGTGAAGCTATGCAAGTTGAGATGCCGCACCTGTTCTCCTGGAGTTACACTCTGGGATGCAGGCAGAAGAGATGCAAATACTGTAACACAACAATTTGATTCCCAAGTCGCTCTTTAATCTCCGTTACTTCCCCCACTGTCCTCTGTCTATCCACGCCCAAATAACTCCTTTCTCAGAATCTCAGGCCTCCATTCCTTTGTGCCGGCAGTTGCCTCTATCTCAAATCTCCCTTTGTCCCTGGAAAGCTCCTACTTACCTGTCAGGCAGCTCAAAAAGCCCTCCCTGTTTCTCCGGGCAGAATTCATCGCTGCCCTCCATTCTCACGTCACACAGCTCTGCTGAGTACACATGGCCCGCACAGTATAGGTCTGCCCTTACGCGGGCGAGATTCATCAGCGGAGATGGGGTCTTATTTATTTTCGCATCCCCCGTGCTTGTAGATATGAGGTACCTAGCAAATGCCTGTTGAAGAAAGCAGAGACTGGTCAAACCATGGAGATTAAGGAGGTTGAGGTGTCACGGAGGTGTAAAATAAGATGAGCTGGTGGGTGTGGGTGTCCCAGGCAAAACAAAATCATAGTGAGCAACAGTTGGAAGTGGAGATCGTGAATCTTGTTTCATTTGGGGACAAGTAAGCTGCTCACTTTGGCTCAAGCACTGAGAGGGAAAGGTAGGAGGTTGGTGGGTGGAGGCCACATTGATGGGCACTTGGGGATTTGAGCAGGGTAAGGAGTGACCTAAACTCAGATTGAAGAAATGGACAGGTAAGCAGGCCATATTACTAGAGGTCAAACCACAGGGAGAAGGAGGTAGTCACTCTCAGTAAATAAGGCAGGGTAACCTATGTGAAGTACATGGTAGATGTAAAGACTAGCTGAAAGGTTGCACCCAGCAGCCTGCGATCACACTTTGAAACAGTGCCTTCTTTTTAGTTACCAACATTTAGAGTTAGGAAACTTCATTTTGTAAAGCCATTTCTAGCTTCTTGTGAAACCTTGGGGGACTGGCAATCCAGAACCCACATTTCTTCAGTAGAGCAGGTGCCAAATTCAGGTCCCGTTGAGCTGGGCAGGTACTAAGCTCTCCACAGCTCCACACTGCCTGCTGCTCCCAGGCATTTAACTTTGGGAGTCTCATCATTTTATCCTTGTAACCCATCCAGCCTTCCTCCTGTTGGGGAGTTTGCACCAAAACTTATTGTCCTAACAGTTCAAATAAACACAAAAACTGTATTGTTTCTCCCAAACCCATCCCTGCTCACTTAAACAAACAGCCTTGAATGGGGAGTAGTTTGCTGTCTTGCACAAGACCACACCCTTCCCCGCCCAACCACAACTAGACTAAAGACTGGGAAGGCAATTTTTAGCTCCCCCTGGGGGGGGTTGTCATCAATAGTGCCACCTGGAAGATCCAAACCCAGAAGCTCAGCTTCAGCCCAGGCGGTGGCCCAAACTCTCTCCCAGGCTCTCTGAGAGAACCTACCACCTGCAGTGGTTCCTACGGGGGGTCTATCAGTGGGGCCCAAAACCAGGAAGATGAAGAAAGTAAACTTAGAGGCTCCTTGTCGTGGAGCTAAAAAAAAAAAAAGAAAGAAAGAAAGAAAAAAAAAAAGGCTGTGCCATGTGTCTACAAAGACAAGACAAACAAAACCGAAGCATATTTACCCAAATGTCCACACTGTTGTTTCTCATGATTGAATGGCAGGTGATTTTCATTTTTTTCTGTTTGTCAACCTGCATTTTCTAAATTTTCTACAATGAATATCTATTGATTTTGTAATAAAAAGTTACTTTTTGAACAAGCATTCAGATATATTTTAGAAAGAAATCATCAGTCCATGACACTCTGAGATGGGTAGAAACAGTGGGGATGGAGAAGAGGGAGCTCTGGAGACCTGGGGGAGGGAGAAGCTTCAAGACTTGATGAGTGGATTGCAACCCATGGGAACCTGAGTCAGAGGAGCCTCCAGGTTTTCTGTCCTGGGAGTCTGAATGGGTAGCGGTGCCACCAACAGAAGCAGGGCCGAATGGAGGAGGGGCAGCTTCAAGAGAACCAGGCAGAAGGTGAGGGGCCACCGGGTTCCGGATGAAGGCTGGTTATATTGATTTTATAGTAGGTATCTTACTTTTTGTTTGCTTATGGCTTGTCTTACTGAGGACGAATTTAAAGGCAGCTTAAAAAGAATTATAATATAACATGAATATAAAGTAGAGACAAGATAAAAGAAAAGAGCAAGAAGAAACATAAAGTAGGGCAAGGGACAAAGCAGAAACATGAATCCTGTAGTCTCTGGGCCATCCACTGGGCTCTGGGTGTTGAGTTGTGTGCATCCTGGTGAGGCCCAAACAGTCTGGAGGTGAGGGGGCCTGCGCTTGGTGGAGAGGATCAAGCTCCTGGAATTGGGCATAAGCCACGTCAGGGTGAGCCTGAGGAGCGGGGTGGCTGCTGTGAGGGAGGGGCACAGCAGGCCCAGAGACGAGAACAGAAAGTGAGGACAGAACCTCTTGTCTTCCCGGTGGGTTTTTTCTAACACACTTACCCGCTTTTGAGTGATCCCCTTTGCAATCAGTTTATAGCCTTGGGGTAATCAGGCCGACCAGAGTTAGCCTGTGGCCCCCAGAGGGTCCATAGTACTCTATGGAAAAGAAGGACTTGGACTAGATGACAAGATCTTTTCTATCCCAAAACTATGATATGGACCTCTGGTTATAGGCTCTTGGGCCCCTGAGTGCGTAGCTGGGGAGGCTGTCAGAATCAAGTTATCTAGGCCTAGAGAGGGGCAGTGACTGGCACAATGTCACACACCCAGTGGTTGGGGACAGAGCTAGGCCAGGAGGCCACCGTTCCTGAGCCCCAAACTTTGCTCTGATGTCTCATCTCCAGACGACCAGACTCCTGGCTTTGGTTTCTGTCCTTTCTCTGGAAACAAGACAAAGGAGTTGGAAGCCAGGCCAAGAAGCTGTCAGGGCTGGTCCCAAGCCCCAGGAGGCTGGGAACCCAAGGTCCACACCCATGTAAACACGGCAGCACTGATACTTCTTTGGCTCTTGATAGCTTCCTCTAAATCAGTTCCTGGGTATTATCTTGCTTATCCCAACAGGTCCCCTGGGAGCTAGGGAGGGACAGAGGGTATTAGCTCCGCTTTATAGCTGGGAGAAACTCAGACAAGGAGGAAGGAAGTAGTTTACCCAAAGTCACCCAGCAGGTCAACGATGGGGATGGAACAGGTGGCCCATGGGAGATGGAGTGGTCAGCAGAGCACATGCCCTGTTTGGGGGGGGGGCGGTGCCATAGGGAGGAAAACGCACATAGCCCCAGGAATCAAGGG